TCTTAAGGGAAATGCGATGAAATACCGATTAGGCAAAAGTAAGATTACTCCAACACGAGAAAAGGCTATTGATGGGCACATGACTCCATCCAAGCCTGTTAATCCTTGTCTTATATTCAAGTCCTGTGTACGATCAATTCATTGAATTGTTATCAGCAACAACCCGTCTGGATACCTTCAGAATGATATCGGCAGCAACCTCGGCGCAAAGGAAATAAAAAAAAAAAAAAAAAACAAGGATCGACCCCAAATGGGTATTTGCCTCCCGGTAGAACAACTGCAGTCCTTCCAGAAGCCTCTGTTTCCATGGTTCACCGCTCATTAGTGAGCTCCATCTCGTCCTTGTTGAGGGATTCGCCGCCTTAGCGCTAACATCGTGTCAATTGAACTAATTAATCAACTAACTGGTTCGGTAGACCATTACTTGGCGGTGGTGGTGGAGTTCTTGTGCTCTTGTTTCACTCAACCCGTGGTCCACCATTCATTTCGGGCTCCCAATATAGTAGGTGACTTTTGGTTTCTTGGGTGCCGCGCCAGGAACGAAAGTGAGTTTTCTTCATGACCATGATGTCATGACGTGATTGTCGTCGGCAACTTGATCAATCGTTGAACTTTGTTCCCTCCTCGCGCCTATGGGGTATACCTCTTAAGTCCGCGGACAGTCCGGGATATGTACTCCTAGTGCCACGGAAAACAGGAGAAACGCGGAGATAAATCGGATGGTTGCCTGGACAAGGTTCTGTTCGGTTCGTCCCTTGGCTGCTTGCAGGATTCGAACAGCCGCCACCGGCACCACCGTCTCCCTATCAATAGGGCAGCCGAATGCAGACAATAATCTGACAAGGCTTTGACACCGCTCGTATCTGCACGGCCGACCTGCAAACGGCGACGTGACTCAAGTGGCCTAAGCCTCAAGAGGACTCGTCCAGTCTAGCCCTATCTCGGCGCCGTGGCGGTGCCTCGGTCGGTCCAGAACCATCAAAAGCAGTCACTATTTGATAGTGAACCATGTCACAGATAAAGTATGCAGAACGTGACCTGACTCCATACCTCAGGGTCAATGGCGCGTCCTATAACCTTTCTGATAGCTCTGGATTGTTCGACAAGGAGCTTGTTTGAGTTCTTAAATGAGGCTAGGATCTTTTGAGGCTCCACTATCACAAAGATCCGTGGTATTTACGATTAATCGGGATTGGCTATATCACGATTCTTATAGCAAGTATACGATGTCCTAGATTTCCATATTCGCTAGAGGCACACTAGTATAGACACAGATAAGCATATCAGCAAATGTCTTGAACAATTCGAATAAAAAACTGGGGCACTATTCAACCCATGACACCAACAACATAAACCGACACTCCTGAAACCAAGCAGGGTACGGGTAGAGTACATCAAGATACTCGGCCGAACCAACCTATACTACAACCAAATATTAAACCCGACAACATATCTGACACGTAAACCAAACCAATTCCCCATGTAAGTCATACATACATACTCCGTACATAAGATACCTACCACTAGTTACTTGCATGATATTTACCTAATACCTGCAACAACCCGGAAGTCTAAATTTGATCTTCAACATTCTGCAGATATGTACAACCCTGCATAGGATATGTGCATGTGGCGTGACCCAGCAACCGGTCCTTCATTTAGGGCTCAGTCTCATGATATGTATTTGCTGTGCAATATGTTATGCACTTATGGGACAATACCAAAGGAATCGAATAAAACCGGAAATCATGCACTATATGCATATCATATATAGCTATGTAGGTACAATGCTGGGCCCATATCCAGTCGCATTGAAAACACGGAACCCAGAAGTTCAGCTGCTGCAGGACATCCCTGTTTTTTTTTTTTTTTTTTTTTCCCATCACGTCTAGT